TTAGTGAAGTAAATCGATAATTATATTTTCACTTTGCCTGTGGCTTGTCTATGATAAAATGTTGTTTTTGCCATTTAGAGGAGGCTTAAGTAAGCATGTAAGTAAGTCTGTCTGGGAGATACATTTGATATTAGTACTGACTGTACTTGAGGGGAGCAAAATGACTCACTGTGCTAACACCAGGGAAGCGGTCTGAAGATTGAGGTTCATAGCTAGTGCTCAGCTCATGAATCCTGAATGACTGAAAATTAACAGTTTGGTAACAGTCCCCATACTCATCTGACAAAACTATAATTGAGTTTTGGGAGAGGTTTTGTGATAAGAGGCAGAGCTCTAGCTGCCAGGAGCCAGTAGTGGGGGAGGAACAGGGATCTGAAAAAGCATTTTAGGCGTACTATGGAGCAAGAGCTGTTGCTAAGGTTAGGTAGCTCTTCCTGTTCTAGAGGCCCTGGGTCTCGGCTTGTAACTGAACTCTGCTTCAGTGTTTCTGGGTGGAATTTCTGATACTGGATGTCTGTTTAGAAGTGACTCTTTGTTTTCTTCACTTATCTTTTAAAGAGGTTCAGAACCAAAGCAGATGATGTTCTATTACTAGCAGAGGTGATGCGTGTTGTACTTTTAAGTATTTCAAAATCTCTTCTAAGCATTTGCAGTTCAATGTTCCATCTCAAGCTTTTACTTAAATTTGATAGGAATGCTGTTCCTGTCAAGATACTTAAAAAAGTTCCCTACAAGTGGGCTTGATTGACAGAGTCTTAAGATACAGAAAAGCCGTAAGTAGAGTGAGTTTATACGTGTTTGTGGTTTTCGAGTGGTCTTCTCTGAGCATGTATGCGCATGCAGTACAGATTTTTGGTCTGGTGGTTATTGTGGAGTTGGATGTACTAAGTGGGCCAGACTGGTGAGAGAGAATGGTAACTGGGAAGTATATAAAATTAAGTTTGCAGACTTGTCTCATTAACTCTTCTGTCTCAGCTCTGAAGAGCTGTTTCTTGGTGTAAATTTGCATAAAACATACTTCTTGGCTGAGAAGTCTCTGAAAAGGTGCACAGCCTAATGGTTAGGGCATTAGCCCGTGACTTGAGAGATCTCAGCTCAAGCCGCCAGTCTTCTGTAGCAGCCTCTGTTAGACATGTAGTTTTTCTGTTTCTCAGGTTTTTTTCTAAATGGGAGATAATACACTTGCCCTACCTCACAGGAATGTTGCATGAATTAAATACATCAGATGAGATGCTCAGATATGGTAGTGATGAGGGATGTGTAGATTCAGAAATGGTAGGTGTCTGGTGAACGTAGTTCCCATGGAAATAACAACAGTGGCTGTACAGAAATACAAGTTACATTACATAAGGGGTAAGAGGAGGCTTTTCTGGGATTTCTGAGGTTGTCTCCACCAGCATAGCGATACAGCATTTATGTGGCTAAAGTCTTGCTTCTCTGTCAAGGTACATCTGGAAGGTGAGCAGTGGAGTGGATTGCCACCTGGTGAGGCCCACCTCCCTCCATTAGCTGTGAGCTTCTGGGTGCTGAAGGTGAAATCTGTTCCACCCTTGCTGCTCAGCTTCGCAGCCATCTGAGTTTTATGTTCTGGCTTTGAAGATGGAGTGCCTCTGATGCATTATTATTATTATTATGTATTATTTGCACTTAAAGCCTCAGTTGTGGTTGGCTTTCTGCTGAGCTTGGAGCTGTATTCATCTGCAGAGTTTCTAGACTGAATGGAAGTGGTGTGGCAAGGTTAACAAACAGGAGGAAAGAAGCCAGGAGAAGTTTGATGCAGAAAACACAGCACTAAGTAGGTCACTTTGGTGTGCAATTCGGTGGTCTGGAATCGCATGAAAGTTGCTTATACTTTTGTAATAACCAAAATAAATATCTGTTGTTTGCAACTGCTGCTTGTCCTAGCCCCGGCTGCTTCGCCGAATGCTTGTTGGTGCTCCAGGTGAGGTGCTTCTTTAAGAGGAAGGTGCAGGAGAGAGATGTGGCAGTGTGGCTGGTCAGGATGCAGGTCTTGCCTTTGAGAGGGAAGGCTGGAGAGCAGTGCTCCTTGAGTGTATTTGGAAGATGGAGGCTTAGTGAAGGGCATCATGGAGCATAGAAATATGTTCAAAATGAAGGGAAGATACTCTAGGACTGTTTTGAGAATTATTACTGCATTGTCTATATAGTATTTGAAATGTTGGGATACTGGGAGCACACGGAGATGCCTGCTATTTCTCAAGTACTAGGAGAACTTGATTTTAATCAAGTGCTGCTTCTGAAAGAGGGGAAAACTGTTTTTAAAAGGTCTGCCATGGCTTGTAACTGAAGAATAACAATTTTCAGAAGATTTCTGATGGGTCAGAATTTATACAAATCTCATGACTGTGGTAACCATGCACCTTATGACAACAAGCTTATTTCTGTTCTCAGCACCCTCTGGAAGAAACATATTTACCCCCATTTTGCAGATGGGAAACTGAGGCTCGTCTTCACAAATCCTTTGCAACGTCTCTGTCAGAACAGAGACTTCAACCCAGGCTTCTCAAGTACTAGGCTGATGCCATGATTTCAGGGGGATGCTTTCTCTCCTGAGGGAAAACAAAGCAACTTATTCAATCCTCCAAAAAAAACCTAAGTCACTCTGCAGAGAGGGTTTGGTTACTTAAGTAATGTAACCTGTTATATGCAGTGTAATCATAGTAGCTTGACCTCTGCATGCTTTAAAAGAAAGGTGAAGTGTATTGATACTGATGTATTTTAGATTGTGAGGCAAAATATGTTAGCAACCTGCTGATCTCAGGTTCTTAAATCTTGGGGTTTTTTCTTCCTGTAACTGTTCTGGGAAAAGGAAAGACTGAAACATAGTTGTTCAAGAATTAAACTTCAAGGTATTTCTCTTGGAGTGCTTGAGTTGGCAGACAACTGCAGACATCTGCTAAGTTAAATGATGCGTATAGACTTTTTTTCCCTTGCTGTCATTTGGATGCAAGATGTTTCTCTGATTTGCTAGTATAGTTGTAGCCGAGATAAGAAGCTATGCTAGAGCTTTGAGGAGAGAGGGTGTTTTTAAGCTATAAATTCCATCCTACAAGTGGTATTGCTAGAGACTTAGCTGGCAGGCAAAATTTGTTTGTGAACGTTGGGACCCTCAGCAGGGAAAAGCTACATTGCAAACTTTACTGTCCCAGGGAAAATGTGAAAAGCCTAGTAGTAAGAGCTGCCCTTCGATCTTACTTTATTCAAGTAAGACTTGAGAAATGAAGGCATCTGACTTAGGATTTAAGGAGACTGTCAGAGTCTGATGGGCTTTGGTAGTTCCGACTTAGTCCTGCGCTGATTCTTTCCGGCTCTCTGAAGCTGGTTTTTAATCTTAGGGGAAAGTTCAGGGAACGGTAACTGATTAATAAAATTGCTTCTAGTACAATGAACTCTAGCAAATAGAAACCTCAGCTAAAGACATAAAAAGTGCAATAGTGAGTGCAACCAGTACTGCTTGTTTATAACAGCCTGTATCTATGTGAGGAAAATGTAGCAAAGTTAAAAACTGCATTTGGCAGGCAGCTTTTAGGGGCTTCATTTGCCTTTGAGGCCTAGAACAGCTGAGGGTGCCCCTCTGCTCTATGTGGCCTGAACTGGCTCAATACATGGTATTTATTCATCTAAACCCAGTTGAGAACCTGGATGGGGTTGGTATCATCAGAAAATGAGTGGTTTGGGCTACGGAACGGAGGCAACGGATGTGTGTTAAAAGATGACCGGGGAGAGGGAACAGATAAGGAGCCCAAACCATTAGTTTATAGATAGCCTAGTGTTTAGCACTCATCTCCAGCTTTAATCCCAGGTCTCCCTCCATCTGTAAGAGCACCGTGCCATCAGCTGCCTTGTTGGGAGCTGCTTTGGGTGGCAGGGCTCCCATCTTTCCTGGGGAAGCCATGCCGCTGGCTGGGGAGTAAGCCCCTCAGGAGAGCTGGTTTGCAGCGAGTGCTGCGCACATGAAGGAGTGAGCCTCTGTAGCGATGGGGAGGTGGGCACGTGTGAACGTGCGAGGTGAGGCCATGTCCTGCTTTGGTACATGCCCCGTGGACCCTGCTGTGCCTTCCCTGAGGGCTGCTCCATGCCAAACGCAGAAGCTGCCCTTGAACCCGTGGCTCCCACCCTTCCAAAGGGAACGGTTTAACAGGCAGGACACATATGCACCCAAGTCCTTTATGCAATTTGCTCTTTGGCTGCACGAAGGGCCCAGGGTGCCGTAGGCCTGGCAGAAAGCTTCATCTAGCTGAGGGAGAGGGCAAGTAGTGAACTGCTGGAGGGGTATCCAGCCTCCCTCTCACCTGCAAGGCAACATGTCCACAGAAGTGAGTGCAAGGATGTGGCTGCTGCTGTTCTGATTGAGCAAAATCCCCTCCCTCCCTCCCAATGTGAATAGCTTTTTGTCCTATCTTGAAAAGAAAGCAGATGCAAATGTAGATCAGGTACTCTCAGCAATTTAAGAGCTCTTTGATGTTGGGAAAAAGAAATCTGATTAGGGTTACAGCTGTTTCATTTCCTGACAGATGCACAGAGTGTTATGTGCTGGTGTACTGCGGATGTACACACACACATCAGTCTCGTTTTGTGTCAGTGGCATAACCACACAGCAGCCGGCTATGTACTGAACTTCTTGTCCTGGACACCCTGCCAAAATATGCTTTATGCAGAATTTTCTGTGAACCAGGTTGCAGCGTGTGTGTGCACATAAATTTGTGTGTGTTTTCTTCAGTTGGCAGGGCCTTTGTTGTTGAATTTTTTTGTTGCTGGAGTGGGGCAGTACACTGTAAACAAGTGTGGCTAATTATAAAGCACTTGTATAAAAAATTATTTGCATTTGTACAAATGGTACTAGTAAAGGTACCTGTGTAAGAGTACCACGAGTACCCAAATAAGCCCAGCTCTGAATGGAGAACTCTTTTCTTTCTTGCAACCACAGCTATAAAGCTGTTTATCACTAAATGCTGAGATGGTGTAACTTTCTTTTCTAGGAACTCGGAATAAGAATTCCTAGACCACTGGGACACGGACCAAGCAGATTCATCCCCGAGAAGGAGGTGTGGTAGTGTTTTCAAGTACACAGTGAACTTTATGCTTTTAAGGAACACCCTTTTAGTAGTAACCCACATTTGGTTTCAGGACAGCTGCTGAGCTGCGAAACATTTTCAGTCGCGATCACATTCAGTCCTGGTGAGACTTTGGCCACAGTTCTAGTGTACAGAAGCAGTGAGAGCCCTGGGGAGCTTTGGAATAGTTATGACCCCTCCTGTGCTGCTATCTAGCATAAGAGAAACCCAATATTGTTTTCTCTAAGAGCGTCTGTTGCCTTGTGAACATCCGGATGTAATTTCTTACTGGTCCACAAGGCACCTGCCCCCCTGCTCTGGGGTTGCTTTTTCTTGAGCTGCCTCTACTATTCTGAATAATCTGAGAAGTTTCAGAGTGCTGTGGCTGAGCATTTCTGGTGCTTCTCTCCGGATCGTCTGGTAAGAGAATTTGGAGCAGAAGAAAAGTTAGTAATATGCCTGTGGCTTTCTAGGAATTTTAGAGCCTTAAGTTTCAATTTCCGTTTATTTCTCTCTCTTGTCATCTTAGCTAGCTTTTTACTTCTTTCTCTCCTTGTCCCTTAGTAAAAATGATTAATCAATTAGCTTTTTGTTGTTATGATAAAGTAAGTCAGATCAGTTTGGGGCACTGAAGAAAGTGAAGGTGAGATAGTTAAAAATGAGAAGTCAGTGTTGTACAAGAGAAAGTGTAAAGCCAAAAATCTCCTTTTGCTGCTATAAGCACTTGTGATTTCCTAAATGGGAGGTATTAAAGGGATTTTATGTGCCTTGCCTTATGTGCACTGATTTAATGCCATTAATAGACTTATAATTCCTTTCACTGGGGCCATGGGGTGCTGTGGTAATATATTTATTTACTATTTTATTGGTGGTACTTAGGCAATATTGCTCATTGCTCTTTCTGCTCAATCAGACGATTCAAGTGGGAAACGAAGACGCCATGATGCACACGCTGTTTGCAGATTCTTTTGCTACGCTGGGCCGATTGGACAACGTTACCTTGGTGATGGTTTTCCACCCACAGTATCTTGAAAGCTTTCTGAAAACTCAGCACTATCTACTGCAAATGGATGGTCCACTCCCACTTCATTACCGACACTACATCGGGATAATGGTATGCTGGAACATAAAGCAGCAAGCAGAAACAGCCACTTTGGCAACAATCTCTGGTCTTGTTGAATAGCAGTTATTACAGTGTTTTGCACTTTCTAGTTGGAAAGGCATTTCATCAGGAGCTAAGGGGAAAAGCAGAGTAGGCTTGTGTCTGGTTTACAAATTGTTTCATAAGACCAGTACTTTATGTTCATAGTTTCGGTAGGACTGTGGGAAAGAGGGGGAAAAAATCTGTTACAAAAATAGGACAATTGTTTAGTTTTGGTTTCCGTAGTATTTCAGAAACTGTTTTTCAGGAGAGGTTGTTTGTATGTGTGTCCTGTCGAATACACCTCCCTCTAACTCAATAGTCAGTCCCATCGTCCATTTCTGAACCTGTAAATTCTAAGCAAATTTTCTGCCAGAAGTGGTTGACTTTGTAATTTCCAATCTGCCAGTGCAGTGATCTTTGCTTGCTGAAGTTGAATTAAAGTTTTGGGCTGTGTCTTAATTTGATGGGGAAAGTATGACTGTTTCAATAAATGATACTGGGTCTGTTCTTTGCTGAAAAGCTGCCCTTAGTCTCTCTTGCTATATGTGTTCTAAAACCTGCTTTTGGTTTAGCTGGTAAAGATTCACCTAGAGGCAGCCTTGCTTCTTCCCTGCTGGAGAGTACTATGCAGTATGGCATACTTGCTTCAGGATGTACAATAAATCTATGCCTGTGCTTCTCCCTGAATATAGGCATGTTGCACCTGTAGCCAGCATAGTTATAATGTATATGAATGAGGAATATTTACGTTGTGAGAACAATAACCAAAAAAGGCTGATGTGTTAATCCTAATTTTTTTTACTTCAGCCTTTGATCACTGCAAGTCTTATTCAAGAATATTTTGAGGAAATCATGACTTATGGTATTTGTCGTAAAGCCCTAACTTATTCCAATTGCTTTCTGTATCACAATTGCGTTTTCTTTTCTAGGCTGCAGCACGACATCAGTGCTCTTACCTTGTTAACCTCCATGTGAATGACTTCCTTCATGTCGGTGGAGACCCTAAATGGTTGAATGGTCTGGAAAATGCACCTCAAAAACTGCAAAATTTAGGAGAACTGAACAAAATGTTGGCTCACCGACCCTGGCTTATCACCAAAGAACATATCGAGGTAAATCTTTCATGGATTAATGTGAACGTACCCTTATTTTTCAGTAAATGCAATCACAGATTCTTAGGCTTAAGAGTCAGACGGGGTGAGAGATGTTCTGTGTTACTGACTTTCATTTCAGCGTTATGCCACTGTGATACTGCACGATACAATATCACTTGTGCCCTTGTAAAACTAACATGATCATAACTGGTCTTAAATGACTAACATTTAATTTACAACACACTGACATTTCAGAGTGGTGTCAGAATTCTGTTGGTGCGATGACGATGTGCTCAGATGTGCACTTCCTTAAGTCGTGTGCTTTCAGTAGCCAGAACCCCCTGGACATTTCTGAGATGCTGCCAGAGGTTAGGCAGAACACCGATCACCGCATTTTTGTCTCAATTGCTGCTGGTTCAAATGCTTAGTTTTCAGGCTGGGTTGGAGGGAGGAGGCTGGCAGAACAGCCCAGGGGAGCAGTGGTGGTACAAGCCAGCCTGGACTGCAGCACCAACAAGCCACCAAGCGGCTGCTTCTGCTGCCCCCTCCTCTGAGGGCTACCTGGATCAGCCAGCTTTGAGGGTGTGCGCAGCAAAGGCAGCTCTCACGGCAGGGCCATGCCTGCCCCGGGCCTGGCCGTGGTTACTGAAGCAACTCCTCCTCCTCCTCCTCTGCTCTTCTCTTTACCCTTAGGAAGGAGGAAGTGGGTGCTGGGACTTTCTCGGCACTGTCTGCCAGGTGGAGAGGCGGTGGCAGGGCCTGCTGGGAGGCAGGACGCTGGGCTGTGGGGGAGAGCGTGCGATCTGCCAGAAGGCCCCAAACCTCCCACACTTTCCTGCCTGAAGGGGAAGTTGGGGTTTAAAGCTTCTTGTCAAATGTAGAGCATTCCACCCACAGGGACAAGATGGAGGGAGCCTGGCCCCGATGCCAGGTTTTTTCACAGCTGATCTGCAAGGAGTTGCCAGGGTTTTCTGAGACTGTAAAGACCAGTTGAAGAAACGTGCGACTGTTATGGTTGCATCTTCATCAGAGGTGTGAAATTTCAATGCAACTTGGTCTGGCCTCAATACAAACCATACGGCGCAAAACAGAAACCCCAACTGATTCAGTAGTTGAGGGCCAGAGAGGGGAGAGAACTCATCGCCTGTGTGGCTTAACCACGAGTCTGTGGCTGGCAGGTAACCTGGTAACAGGACGCTGAGCACGCTAATGGCGGCAGAGAGTTAGGAAGCAATTACAGACTTATACAATTATTTTCCCACTGGTAAAGAAACGTGCTGATAAACTGCATTAAGGTGGGATCATTTGAATGACTTCAAAATTAATACTTTTGTCTTGCATTATTTTTAAAGCAACTTTTGAAGACTGAAGAGAACAGCTGGTCCCTGGCAGAACTGATCCACGCGGTCGTTCTCCTTACACAGTACCACTCCCTTGCTTCCTTCACGTTTGGTTGTGGAATCAGCCCGGAGATCGACTGTGAAGGTGGTCACACCTTCAGGCCCCCTTCCGTCAGTAACTATTGCATATGCGATATTACAAACGGTTACCACGGGGCGGATGAAATTCATGCCAGCCCAACTGGAAGTATTCCAGTAAGTATCTGTCTGAACAAACAAGCTCTTTCAAGAGTAGTAGCTTCTTTGTAAACTTAATACACGGAGGATGCCCGTCTCTTCGTTCAGTGAGAGTGGGATTGATTAGCCTAATCCCGATGAGGGCTAACCAGTTGAAAAGATCCATTTAGGAGAAGCTGAAATGACACTGGTAAGCTGGGGGAGGTTCCTGAAGGGAGAGACAAAGATACAATCTCTGTCTATTTTTTTGGTCTCTTGTCATTCATATAGGCAAACCGAGATGACTGCTGGCCTCGCTAGTTCATGATATATGTACTGAGCAGCAGTGGCCAGGAATGCTTTTTTTCATGGGTGCAGTGGAAAGCTGCCTCTTCCTTTGATTCCAGTCTTTGACTTTGTTGCCTTGAGGTGTTTGCGATACATCACACGACAGATCATTCACAATTTTCTGACTCTCTCTCCAGAACAGTATTTCCTGCCTGTGGCAGTTGGGCTCACTGATCTGTGCTTGCTTCCCCTTAGTGAAAAGCATGATGTGAACTAGGCGTTGGTTTAAGAACAGTGATAACGGGGTATTCTCAATGCGGGTTCCTTGCCTGTGAGACTTTACTGCAATGGTGCGGGTGGCATTTAAATTTTGTTTGATGGAGCTTGCTGGTTCTCTGAAGGAGCAAACTGCAAAAGGCAGAGAGGAAAGGGGCAGAACTGTATAAATTGAAGATAACTTTATTTTGCTTTGCGCTGATGGATTTTTACAAGACCAGACATTGAATTCATAGTGTGCTGTGGTGTTAAAACAGCTCTTGTGAAAGAAGATTATCTTGCACTAGCTTTCCTTTGAGGCTTCATTAAATCTGCATTTACACTCACTCTTCCTTTTTCCTTCAATATGTTTCTTCTCTGTGAGCAGAGAAGGGGAAAAATACAGTTGGGTGGTAAATTGTGGTTACTTCCTCTATCAGAATTTCTGTTACAGCTCCTTGTTTTTCAGTTGTTAAACATCTAGATTAAGTAAGAGAAATTTAATTTTAGTGTGAGAACCGCTTGTTCCGAAAAGCTGTGATTCTTAAAATATGCTAAAAATACCAGGGATCTAACTGAGAAAAGATGATGACTAAAAGTGAACTGTTGGGTCAGTACAGATTTCTTTCAAGAGCTGTTTTCCTCAAAAAATCAGTACTTAAAGATGTAAATGAAGGACATAGCTTGCGTTTAAACTTTCTGGCTTGACGATTTCTGCCATCGTTGTCAGTTCTTGTTACATGGAAATTCAATGGGTTTTTTTCTCCTTTTCAAGTCTACAGAGTCTGTCTGTGAAGTTGAAGCTCTTATGGAGAAAATGAAGCAGCTACAGGAGTGCAGAGATGAAGAGGAAGCCAGCCAAGAAGAGATGGCTACACGTTTTGAAAGAGAGAAGAGAGAAAGCATGTTCGTTCTCTCTTCAGGTAGAACAGATGTAGTCTGTGTGTGTGTGTGTGTGTGTATATATATTTATTTATACTTCTCCAAATCACTTGAAGAAATACTTAGTACCGCAAAAGGAAAAAAACCCTGTTATTAGATGTCTCAGAAACGTTACCATTTCTTTGAAGGGATCAAGATCAGGGGTGCCGTGTTTTCTTCCAGGAACACTTAAAAGCAAAGTAGTGCCAAGATTTGTGGCTTCTCTCAAATACACCATAACACTCACTGACCAATATTATGGTTAATAGAAATTTCCAACAGAAATGGAATCTCTCTCTTGAGAGATTTAGAAGTTTCACAAGAGATTTAAGCACCTCACAGGACATTGTACAAAGAAGTCCTTTACACACTTAGCTATTTAAGTGTATGACTCTGAGATAACAGTTAATCTGTTACAAGCTTAGGGTTGTTGTGGGCTCTTCAACAGAGTTTCCTCTAAAATAAACTTGGCGTGGAAGTCTTAGAGGTCTCTTTTAATAAGCGCTCTGTTCCAAAGCAGATTTTCCCTTGACGTTTTTACAGACCCCTGAAGTTAGGAGCACAGTGTCCTCTAGACTTAGGAGATAGAGTGAGGACTGGTACATAAAAGAATGGAGAAAAAGATGTTTGTAAGAAAGAATCTGAGTGTTTTTCATGGAATTGCCTGTAAAAACCATAGTTGCAGTCACACTGTGCTGTACCAAAGAATTTTAATACTGGTAGCCCAGTGAAACTGTGTGTTTATTTAAAAAGCACAAAGACTCCCATTCTTCTGTAAGAGTTCCGCTAGCAGACTTCCAGTTTGTTCTTACTGAAGTTGTGTGAAATTCTGTTTGAAATTAACAGAAGACGAAGAATCGGCACCAACAAGAGATGTGTCTCGTCACTTCGAGGATACCAGCTATGGTTACAAAGACTTCTCCAGACATGGAATGCACGTGCCCACCTTTCGCGTTCAGGTAACAAGGATGGGGGCTGCTATCGGGAGCCTTAGTGTGCGATCTGTTTGTTGTGCCAAATACCAAACCTGGAAATTGCTGTGCTGTAACTTACTGCCCCATGGACGAGAAGGCTTAAAGCAAGCAAATGAACAACCCCCCAAGGCCGTCTGTCCGTCCCCCCCCGCCTCCTGGATTATCTGCCCTGACATAAATGACATTAAATCACTAGGTTTTCACAAGTTCGTTTCTGAAATGCTCCGTTCTGCATTTTTACTTATTCTAAGGATTATTCCTGGGAAGACCATGGCTATTCCTTGGTTAATCGTCTTTACCCAGATGTGGGACAACTACTTGATGAGAAGTTTCATATTGCTTATAATCTGACTTACAACACAATGGCCATGCACAAAGATGTGGATACCTCAATGCTAAGACGAGCTATTTGGAACTATATTCATTGTATGTTTGGAATAAGGTCAGTTGCATTACTTTCGCCCGATACACATCAGACTTGTTAGCGTTGGCTTTTTTTTCTTTCTCAGACTGAAGCAAAGCTATTTATTAAGCAAACATGCATGCATTTTTAAACGTATTTTTAATTACGGGGAAGGGTCAGTAGTGCTGCGAATTACACAGTAATTTGTTTTGCCATAGGAACTGACAAACAATGCAAGCGAAATAACTGGTTCTTGAGAATGAAGTTTTTCTTTCAATTCCGAACAGATATGATGATTATGACTATGGTGAAATTAATCAGTTGTTGGACCGCAGCTTTAAAGTTTATATCAAGACTGTGGTTTGCACTCCTGAAAAGACCACGAAAAGAATGTATGATAGCTTCTGGAGGCAGTTTGAACACTCTGAGAAGGTACAGTTTGCATGCGTGCTGAGGGACGCGGGCGGTAGATCCGTTTGCCACGCTAACAGCCACAGCTACCCAGCTAGCATTTAAGCTTTAGCCGATGTTACCGGGATTCTGCTCGCGTTCAGTAAATACCTTGGGAGGTGTAGTACTTCCCAGGCTGAAATAATTCTTCTTTTCCTACTGCATGTTTGCTAGCTAACAGCTGACATGGACTGTGCAAGCTCTGAACCGTATGGGGAGGTTAGACGTGTGAACGGGACAGCTTCACCCCGACTGCAGCTTTCTCCTCCGCTGTCAGCTGGTACTGCCGGTGTCCCAGAGAGGCAGGGAAGAGATGCGAGGTCCATCCCTTGGCCTCGGGCCCAGAGCAGCTTGCTTGCTGGCCCGAGGTCTTTGCAGTCCTACGGTCATTTTTAGTGTGAATGGTCCGAAAGCAATTACTTCGTGTTAAAGCCTGAAGTCCTGCTGCTGGGTTACAGTCTGAATTGCACCTCCCAGTAATATTTCTTGCTGTTAACTCTCGGCTGGCTGCTCCATCCAGTTCACGTCCTCCAGTTTTTCTTTGGAAAAATATTTCTAGGCCCCACTTAAAATGAATGCTGATACAGTGCTGAAATGTAAATGTGCCTTAATCCGTGTTTGTATCATCAGAGGCTCTGTTTCCTGGCAAACTCCTTGTGAAAATAGTTCAGATACCCCCAGTTATAACAGGGGTACTGTAACTACAATGATGTAAGGTTGTTCAAGTCAAATACTACATATGTTTGTTTTGGTTAGACTAACTGATAGAGGCGAGCTTTTCAAACACACAAATCCTTTAAAGCCCAAAACTTTGCATCTCCATAGCCATCAAAATCCAAGGATCGTACACGTACGTGCCACTGAATGCAATCACCATCCATCCTCGTGGAAATCACGCAAATGAAACCACACACAGCCGTTATGTGCCAGAACAAACTCACAGCCAACCTGCTGTCAGTGAGAGAATACTTTCACCCCCTCCCCCCCCCGGTTTCTGATCTCATCCTCAAAGAAACACGGTAAAGACATGGAGGAGATGAGATGAGTTGGGGAACGAAAGTTCTTACCTCTGGTAGCTACTGAACACCTCTGTCTCAATGAAGATAATAGTTTTATGGCACGTTACAATTTTTCTTGTGCTTCACCTCGGCTAACCGCTCCATGTTGTTCAGGTGATAATGACCTGTGTGTTTCTCTCTCTGTCCCACAGGGGCAAACGACCTTATCACCTCTTCCTTTGCTAACAACCCCCTCTGCTCCGCAGGTACCAACCACCCTTTTGCCTTTAATTGACTAACTTAATTCAGCTAAATTTGAACAATTATTTTCAAGCTGTGCCTAGTCTGCTGCTGAAGAAGGGCTCGTGTGCTTGAAAGCTTGTCTGTTTTTTCCAGCTAAACCAGTTGGTCTACTAAAGGATGACTACCTCCTCTTATGAACTTGGCCCTGCTCAAGCGTACCTGTGACCCGTTGCGGCACTGTGCTGCAATACTGCGTACGGCGCTCGTTCGGTCTTTCCTCCCTCAGCAAGCTTTACGGATAGAACTAATTATCTGGGTAGCTGAAAGGCAAAGCGCTCCCCCGCTGCTGCTGCAAACACTAACACGAAACCCACAGCCCCACAGACTTCCTTTCACTGGAGTACGTTATTGTAAGCACGCCGTTAAAGCGTAACTTCTTTTCTTTCCTGAAGGTCCATGTAAATTTGCTTCTGGTAGAAGCTCGGATGCAAGCCGAACTACTTTATGCTCTGAGAGCTATTACTCGCTATATGACCTGATGTCTCCGGCTGCCTGTTGACGTTCGAATGTTCTGCAGCTGCAGTATGGCAGAGGAAGATACGAAGCCTCAGGACCAACGGTAGCTATAAGTTAAGATGCCCATTGTGCCATAACTCCTTTAGTTTCAGCTATTTCCGTGTTTGGAACATCACTGCTGCCGCTCGGCAGTGAACGCTTGGCAGTTGACAGGGTTGTGCAGAAGTGCTGCCTGCTCATGGTATTTTGGCTTTAGACAGCACGGGACACTCTATGAACTTGTGGCAATATAGCAAATGATAGATATATAGATCTTGTGTTAAGGCAAATACTACGGGAGTTGGAGCGTGAAAAGAAGCGGGACTTGAT